CCCAGTTTCGAGAAGTTGTTCGAGGTGGAGTGTGATGCATCGGGAGTTGGCATTGGGGCTGTCCTAACTCAAGAGGGACACCCGGTTTCCTACTTCAGTGAGAAGCTCAATGACACACGAAGACGCTATTCTACCTACGACAAAGAATTCTATGCGTTGGTACGGTCTCTTGAGCATTGGCGACACTATCTCGTGAGTAAGGAATTCATCCTTCACTCCGACCATGAGGCGTTGAAGTACATTCAAGGGCAGCACAAGCTTCGACCCCGTCATGCCAAATGGGTTGAATACATTCAAACCTTTACATTCACCATCAGGCACAAGAACGGGTCCATGAACAAAGGCGCGGATGCGTTGTCTCGGAGACACTTATTACTAACGGTACTTAGTACCAAACTTCTTGGTTTTGAATTTTTGCAGGAACTCTACAAGGATGATGAAGATTTCAAGGAAATGTATGCCCAATGCTTATCTCGGCCTCATGAAGATTACCTAATCAAAGATGGTTACCTCTTTCGTGGTAATCAACTGTGCATCCCGAGGAGCAGCGTTCGTGAAACCCTGATAGACGAGGTCCACGGTGGTGGACTAGCCGGTCACTTCGGAATCAACAAGACTTATTTGATGATGAAAGAGCATTACTTCTGGCCCATAATGGAGAGAGACATCGAGCACTTCATCAAGAGATGTCACACTTGTCAACTTGCAAAGTCCCAAGCCCTACCCCAAGGAATGCACTTACCCTTACCCGTCCCGTACGCCCCGTGGGAAGATGTTAGCCTAGACTTCATTACTCGGCTGCCCCGAACTCAACGAAGCAAGGATTCCATAATGGTGGTTGTGGATAGATTCTCAAAGATGGCCCATTTCATTCCCTGCGTTACTACATACGATGCTTCCCAAGTAGCCGATCTCTACTTCCGAGAGGTCGTTAAACTCCATGGCATACCTCGCAGCATGGTTTCTGATAGGGATCCCAAATTCCTTAGCCATTTTTGGATGACATTGTGGAGGAAGCTAGGCACAAAGCTCAAATTCAGCACTACTAGCCATCCGCAAACTGACGGACAAACCGAGGTCACCAACAGAACGCTTGGAACTCTCCTTCGAGTTCTAATCAAACGAAACATCAAGCAATGGGAAGAGCTACTGCCGCACGCCGAGTTTGCCTATAACCGAACCCCAAACAAGACCACGGGGCTATCCCCATTCATGGTGGTCTATGGTTCGAACCCCCTCACCCCACTTGAGCTTGATCCCATCGTAGGAAAAGAGCAATACAGTTGGGCAGCTGATCAACGGTCCAAGGAAATTCAAGAACTCCATGAAAAGGTTCGAGAGAAGATTGAAGCGGTAAATGAGAAAGTTAGTAACAGGATCAACAAAGGAAGAAAATTCACAAGTTTTCAGCCCGAAGACTTGGTTTGGATTCACCTAAGGAAAGAGCATTTTCCCGCCAAACGTAAGTCCAAGTTACTACCAAGAGCCGACGGCCCATTCGAGATTTTAGAGAAGATCAACGACAACGCCTACAAAGTCAATTTGCCTGGAGATTACGGAGTTTCTGCTACATTCAATGTTAAGGATCTCAGTCCATATTTTGACCCTGAAGAACTTCCAAGTTTGAGGACAAACTTTTCTGAAGACGGGGAGGATGATATATCCAAGAGCACCACAAATCACCCTCAAGTCCTTAAGGAAATCAGTGGAA